TCCCCTCTAAAAAATGGTGTGACTCTTTGTGCATTCACTCTGTATGGATGTCCTCTGAGGGAAGCATTATGTGTGTTGGGATAGTGTCCAATTAATCCTCCATTAGGCACTAAGCTACAGTGTGTACTGTATCTACAATATAACCTGTAGGATAAATTGACAGATTAAATTCATTCTCGAGAAGAGCTTTATGTTGTTTATACAGTATTTTCTAACTTACACTGAGTACACTGATTCAAAATGTATTAACTCAAAACATTTATAATTTACTAATTTACACTCAGAGTTCTCTGTGTAACACCTAGAACAGCTTCAGTTATATTAGTGATGAGAGATACACCAGACTGTCCCAAGTTGTTGAAACCTGTTTTGCTAGTTTAGGAAGGTAGCTGTTAGTTAACGATAGATGGGTAATAGCCAACTTAGAGTCAGATTTGCTCTCCAAAACTAAGCATATTTTCAACCGCATTCCCATCCCTGCAAGTATTTTGACACTAATTGTCTCTTTTCTTCAGTGTGTAGTCATGGTTCCAAAATAAAAGCTAAACCAGCATCATGAGCTTTACCTCCACGTACATTTAAGGTACTTCTAGACGATTGTCTGAACATCCTGTTCAAGGACATCAAGGAGCACTTTATGGACTAGAATAAAAGGAAATAAGCACAAAAGAAATCTCAATCAGGGGGAAGAAAAACAACTTTTAATGGTCAAACTCTTGATCCTAAGATTTCAAGCTCACTTCTTTTCTTACAAAGCTAACTGAGTTCACACTCAAGACGTTGCATCCTTGGGTTCATAATACTGTCACTGAGGGCAATAATTTGATGTTAACCATGAAATAAACTGGACTGAATTTAATATAACAGAAACAAAACAGGCTATGCTAATAACAGTCTGTGTATTTGTCTGTCATTGAAAAAAAATCACAGATGCACTTAATTCTTTTATTGTAATCAGGAAAAGTGTCAACAATTCTGGAGAGATGACGCTAGGGTGTCAGCCATTTTTGCGGGTGTTTGGTTGGCCAGCTCGACTAGATAAAACTGTATAAACCATTAAATCTGCAGATGTTAGCTAATGCTAGTGAAAAAATCAGTAGCCACCACGCATAGATGTTAATAAGCAACTTGGTTTGTTGCTAAGGTTGTAATTTGTGAAGCAGCATCAGTTTTCGTGGAGTTTGGTTTCTGTTTTCTCCATAATAATAATTTGCTCACACCGAGGCTGCTGGCTTGTGTCTGGCTCTGAGCTCTGGCTAGCTTTAGCTTTAGCTTTAATGACTTAGCTTCTGTAAAATGGGCATTTTCCTCTGGGTGAGGGCAATTTAAGTACCAGATTAGGTTTTGCTGTTGTGTTTTCATGGTGCTTCCCCTGCAAACATGGGTAAACGTTGTGTCTTCATGCACACTGAAGAGCTTCCTTGGTAATGCTATATTAGCGTGTGGCTGTGAGTATGCATATGACTATTTGCCAGCAACACTGTGAGCATGTTGTTATTCATGAAGTGGACCACAAATAACTGGACATATGTGAGGCAAATAAAGCTGGAAATTGTTATCTATCAGATCTATTTACAGAAATAGTCATGTAAACCCATCAATTTATAATTTAATTAGTCTTAATTTGTTACCCTACTGTGGTTTATATGAAAGAATTATATTGACTTTTAACCTTAATTCCACAAAAAATAACATAATTATACTATTACATGACAGCTGGCAGAAACCTCAATTAATTTGTCTCTAATTACAATATTGGTGTATACGTAAACAAACTCACCGTGCTGCAAAGTGAGGCGATTGCCTCTGTGTTTCCCGTGCTTAATTTTTTATAGTTTTTATTAGCTTCGATTCTGAAAATCATTGCAAACAAGTAGTCTGCTACTGTCTGTTTCTCCTTTGACTTGAAGTGCCCTTCTTTAGAAAGCTTGTGAAAAGAGGAGATGCATATCTTGATTGATCTTGCATGTCTTGACTATATCAACAACAGGAAGTGGTCTAAAGCAGGAATGGTGATTCATGTGCCAAGGTAACACTAAGTAGAAGTAAGGGAGGTGAATGGGAGTTCAAAAGTTTCAAAGCTGGTATTTATTAAGAATAAAGTTGATTAAAACTGTTTTTCTCTCCTTTTTAAGAATTTTAGTTTCCAGTCACTGTACATATTTGTCAGAAGGAAAGTGATTTTAAAAAAAGGGAAACAGCTGCTAAATATACTGTGGATTTTAAAGAAGGCTCACCCATGGCATAATTAATTACACTCAGCATATTCATCACTTTTAATGCTAAAGCAACTCTCCGTGTTTATGTTTTTGAGCTGCTTATCATTTTCACTAATTGTTTTATTAAGACCTAAAAATCTCTTTAATCCTTTTCCTCCTCCATTTGTTCGCATGCTTTCATATCCATATGCATTTAAATCCGGCTGTATTTACCAGTTAAAATGCAAATGCAGCTCACTGGGAATAATGGCCCCGGAGAGCTGGCTGGATAGACGGACACCCTATGGCTCTAGAGAGCTTTCCCCACAGCGTTGAGAGCAGAGCCAGGTGAGTGCTTCTCTCCAGGTGTCCCTCTCATGCCATTGTCGAGGCTTAGCGGGTGGCACCGAGAGCCCACCGCCTTTCTGGCTCGCCAGCAGGTTTCATGGCCATTTTGCACTGAATGACTGTTCATTGACGCAGCCAGTAAAACCCGCTGCTGACTTGGGAGGAATAAGTTTGTCCAGCTCCAGTGGCTTCAGCAACAGTGGGGATTTTGACTCCATGAGGACCCAATTAAACCTGGGAGGCCCTCTCTGAAGGAATAATAACAATGATAAATGCACCTCTGTGGCCAGCTTAAAAAGCAGCAGGGAGAAATGTTTTATTGTGCTGGCCTGTCTTGACACAATTTACTCCAGGCTTCTGGCTTTTGCAGCATCAGGACGAAAACCTCACCTTGTGATTTTTTTCCCCTTTTCCCTTGGAGAAGCCTTAATGTCATCCTGAAACATTGTGATGACTCGGCTTTGTGTACCATCAAACCATCCTCGTGTGCCCTTTGAAGTGACTTTACTTACTCAATGCTGAAAGTACAAATTATTTGTTTTTAAGTTGCAAGTCAGTTCAAGGACACGTTTGGGGGTATTTGTCAGAATAAAAGCAAACATTTTTAAGTTACTGATATTAATTTGACCTCGAAAATCTCTGAATTCCTCCGGATACGCCATCTCATTTGAGAATATCTTCTGTTTTTCACATTTTGAGTAATCTTATTATGCTCTTTATTCGTGTTTACCCATCTTAGAAAAGACATTTAGTCATCACGTATTTTCCTCTGTCAGGTGGTAATTTTGAGAAAAACTCCTTTAATTAGATAACAGGCTTCTGTATTTCAGATTTGCACTTTACCAGCAGTTTATCAATTACTGCTTGTGGTTTCATACTGCCAGTCAGTCTTTGTCTGGGTGCTCGAGCCTCCTCCTCACCACGCTGCAGAGCCGTGTTATTGTACTTAAACAAATCAATTCTCTTGCAGTTGAGCTTTTTTTTCCCCTCCATCCCCTGTCATTATGAACTGTTTGCAGTGCAGAGCACATTGATTTTTCACAGCCCTGGAAAAGCTGTTGATGAATAGCACAGAGGTATCTGGGGAGAATCTGGCTTTAAAAAGGAGGCACCCAGCGTCAAACCCTCCTCCTCCTCCTCTCTCCCGACCCATTGAGCCCCCAGCGCTCCTCCACTTTCTCTTTTCAGAGAGCGGCACTTCCAACAGGGGAGAAATGCCGCCTGAAAAATCTTCCAATCATAAAAAAAGGATTAAAAAACTGCGAGACACAAGGGACCACCCTCTCTCGCTGAATGCTAAAACACACTTTGTGGTTAGACAGTTTTTAGATTTTGGGTATTAACCTTGTCCTGTCAACCAAAGCATGAGCTCACTAAAAACCTGCCTGGGAACAGAAATGGCTAGTATGCTACGTGTCACCTGATGAAAACGCCATTAAAGTTGTTCTTTTCTTCTATAACTCATTCAGCTCCTTGGAATTTTATACTTCAACATTTTAAGAGTGACAAAAACTTATTTTTTCTTTGGACCTGACTGAGCCTCATTTCTCTGAACAAACTGAGAAACTGCTACCTTAAGAGATGACTATTTACAAGTACTACCTTGATGTGGCCCTTCATTTAAAGCAGGGAACTTAAGTTGCACTCTGCACCCTCTCATGGCCCTCTCTCAAGATCTGAAGGACAGGCTTAAACATCTACAATTTGTCTTCGCATTTGAGAGTTTGTGGGACAACAAACTGCTGAGGTCATCCGTTTGTCTGAGCACTGACATCAGTGTTTGCTGAATCCCAGTAGTCGGACACCTTATCATGATGAATTCACAAAGGGAACTAAAGCTTCTAAACTTAATTGTGCGAACAAACAAAAGACGTGATTCTGAACTGTGTGGACCCTACACGATAAGCAGTATGTTTATATATATTTTGGTTTAAAATTAGCTGCTGGTTACTTTCTTCCCTAACTGATTTATAGGTTTTGTACTTCACCAGTCACCCTTAAAGAAAATATGGTCATTTTTTTAAGGGTCTGCATATCACTGGGTATATGCAGGAGTTCTGCCTGCCAGACTGGGTGCCAAGCTATAGTAAAGAACCGTCCTAATAGGCTTATCTGTCAATTGGGAGTGAATTGTGAATGCGCCACGGCAGTGAACTTACCGCGTGGTGGATGTTTATGATGCCATGCTGGTCGTGTGAAGTGTCGGCTGCTCTTTTGATTTGTCCTTTGTGGGCACGGGAGCGTGAAGGAGCTTATCCGTGCTGGGAAGAAGTGTATCACGTTAAGCGAGGCGCAGATGGAAGCCACTCAAAGCCCACAGGAATCTGTGAGAAGTGAAATCACTGAATGAGATTGAGTTTCAGGAGAATAATGCAAATGTAATAATTCAGTGTTCGGAGATTGGTAAATAATACTGCAACGACTGATGTATTTTCTTTCTCTGATTTTTCTCAGGGGCAGAAGAATTGAGACACTGGAGTGTTTCTCCTCCTGGTGTGTGAATGGGTGGGGGGGAGTCAAGGATTGAAAATAACACAGGTGAGTAATTTATTTTTCTGAAACATATATGGCGGAGGTTTACATAGCCAAGCTCAGATTTAAATCTGCGCCACAGCAGGAAGTGTGAGCACTCTGCAAAGAGCTCGCTGCTGCATGTTATCATTACACAAATGCACTCATTAAATTTGTTCCCAGCCTTCTTTTTAGGCTGCATTTGTTTGCCACTTGAAGTTTTAAATTAACCTTGTACATCCTGATGGTGTGCTTACAGTTACCATTTAAATTGGCTACACTGTGTGAAAGTCAAAAGAGATCGCCTTTGTTGAGCGAATCAGAGAATTCTTAATGGCGGAAGCTAACGCGGGTTAATTGCTCAGTTGCACTGTCCACATTTGTATCTATGCATTTCTGTTGATTTGTAAGCAAATAATATATAGTCAAATATTTTGGAAAACACTGACTTTTAAACTTTGTTAGGGGCTTCATGGTTATGTAAGAGATCCCTGGAGGAGGCACAAATCAAGCCTCAGGGGCTCACAAGTGTACTCCTAGTGCTGGTCCTAAACAGGGAGGGTTGTGTCAGGGAGGGCATCTGGTGTAAAATCCACTTCACATCCTGGGATATAAGGGAGCAGGTGAAAGCTCCCATTTTGGAAAAATGTGTTGCAAAAATGAAGCTTGCTTACACAGAGTTAACAGGCTAGCAAGGTCAGAGAATGTCAATATCTCTTTTTTGATGTGGTGTTCGGGAAACAGGAGTAAACACTGCAACAGATATAGCATAAAATAGAACATCTGGGAGAGGTGTTCCGACTGACTTGCATTATTATTGTATGATTTCATTTACTTTGTTTCCTATAAACATAGCTGATAAAAATGTGCACCTTGTGAAGTTTGAAAGCCGAGTACACAACTATATGTGTCCACGTTATTTTTAAAATCCTAAAATTTAGCTCAGATGCTGCTTTGTGTGAAAATATGTATCAAAGCAGGAATCAAACAAATCTCGTTACTGGAAAGCGATATCCGCCTCCCTTGTCACTACAGTGATATAAAGACCACGGCTTTGTTTGCACTGGCATGCGCTGTCCTCGAGGGTCTTTAGTAAACATGTGATGGCAGCAGTTTGTGTGTGGCCAACATCAGCTCTCCTCTCACAGAACATGTTGATTTCATCAGGAGCTCCTGGGAGGCTCTGTGTAACAAAGTGCTTATGTTCCATATGCAGTCCGAGCACAGGCGCGCACACACACACACACGCAGAAGGTCACAACTATCCTCTTCATCAGCGAGCCACCAGCTCATCCTTATGCAATATGGAGCTCAGTGTACATCCCGCTGAAGGGGGAGAATTATGTTGTGGAAAGCGAATGTAATTGGTTTGTCCACTGTATTATACAATGCAGCTATGGATTAGGAATTGGGGCATCCAGGACACACACGCACACACTGAATAGATAAGAGTAGTTAATCTTGATTAGAGCAGTGTGAATGCTGAGAAATACGGTGCTGTGACAAGCATCTGCCTGCCACACAGCTGAGTGGGATAAACCAAAGTGATTATTGTGGAAATGTCAGACGAGGTAGACGGTGATAGCAAGTGAAACGAAGGGGGATGTGACATGAACGGGGACATGACATGAGTGCCTCAAAGTCAGTTCTCTCTCATTTTCAGTGACAGACTTTTCCCCTCTCACAGTGCCTTTGTGGAGCGATGGATTGGAGGGGGGTTGATGATATGGCTACAGCCATGAGAAATAGCAACAGTCTCAAACAGAGGAGTGTAAATAGCGGCTGATAGCCACATAAATCAGCTGGGAGTAAATCTTGTTGGGTTGCAGCTAGTAGTTTTTACAGCATAACTCCTTGTTTACTAAATCAAAGTTGTTTTACAGCCATTTCTTTAGTCTGTAGACCATCGCAAAAAAGTAAAAGCTTAAGGGGATATATTCAGATTTCTTGTCTGAAAACAGTATCAAACCAAACCTTATTCAGTGAGGAGGAGCTGGTGCTTCTGTCTGGCAATTTTTGCTGCATAAACCAGTGTAGAAATTCTTGGCTGGGTGCATTCTGTTTTACTAATTGATTAATCGACTAGGTCTTTCTCTACAAAGCAGACTAGGCACCCGCTTTCATTTTACCGGGTTGATATCTAAAGGTTGCCAGGTTGGTCTTTTTCTCTGTACTGCCAGTGTAAGCTCTAATGAGTAATTGCTTTCCTCTGCGAAATCCGAAGGTGCAGACATTCTGTTAACTTCGCTAAAGGAGAAAGGGGGAGGGGGGGAAAAAAATCTCCTTCCTGTCAGTGGTCTGTCTTTCTCTCTGTTCTTGTTAGATCTGGAACTGATAAGTGAGAGGCCTCTGGTAACTGAACAGGAAGGATAGAGGGCCTGGCCTCAGAGCCCCTGCCTCTGCACACATGTCCACCTCCCCCTGCTCGGGCAAACAAAGGGAGCAGAGCCTGCCACTTAACTTCAGGTTTGAAAACATTCAAGCCTATTAGAAGAATAATCATCACTTATTCGAGTGAACTCTTATCCTGAAGAGATTTTTGTTGACTATAACAACAGAGAGGCATTTTGATAAAACAGACCGAGGGCAAATTAATGCTTCGCAACCATTTCACATCCAGGCCCAATCACAACTCCCTTGTTCCCCTGGCTGGTGTTAAGTCAAGTGGAAGTACTGTATTAACCAGTCACGTGGCAGAGCGGTCAGGATTTATTGTTCATCCCAAATACCCACAGGTCTGAATGAGTAGCTGTTAAACTGATTAGTGTGATGAGGCTGTTGTAGCCTATATACCCTACATGCTAAAAGCTAGCTAGTATAAAGTAGAATCTAAATTTCTACTAGTGTTTGCTATGTTAAAACAAAAACAACAAAAAATACAGAGATTGCCTTTAAATGCAGGGTTATACACAACAGATTTCCCAAAGTCAGCGCGAGTTAAAATGGCCCAGAAATGAAGATCATGTGTAATCTTTTTTTGATGATAATCTTTTAGGGAAAAGCACCAAGCTTAATTAGAAAGAAAACATAGGAGTATAGTGGAAAACGTGAATAAGCGCTTGTTAAAGTACAATTTAAACTGTCCGTCACTGTCTGCTTGGTTACAACAATCTAAGCTCGATGTAAACAGTGCACTACCTTGCTTTATGGGGCCATTTTGCTGTCTGTAATTGCATTTTATTCCTCTAGATAACAGAAGCAAACTTACATGATGTGACATGACAAGATATTTCCAGTGCAGTAACCATGGAGAGTGAATATTTGCCGTACTTATCTAAACCATCAGTACCAAGAGTTTAGTGCAAAACTATTTTGCTCTCTGCAGAATTCAAGAGACAGGTCACCTTAATGAAATTCTGTTTCAACGCAAGCTTCTCTGAATAAAATCCCAGTTCTCTAAAAATATTACTCTGCTTATTACCAGCAGTGGGATTGGAATGTCCAAAAGCAGTCGGGGGAAGGCTGGATCGTATTTGACTGGTTTATAATGACACGACTTGTGTGAAAGCGGCTACAACAAACATTACTTGATCTCGCTGAGAAACCTTGTGGAATTACTTGAACAACATTTGTTGTCGGCGAACAGTTATCCAAGGATTTTGCACTTAAAGCTTTGTGTCAAGATGACTGTTGACTCAAAGGTGCATTGTTCAGATGAGTGCATAGATTATTTTCCTGTACGGTACCGGCTGAGTAACTTGGCGTGACAAGATAGCACTCGAGGTTTCATTCTTGCGGTGTGCTTAAGATCTCTCTATCATCTTATCTTTTGGACTTTGAATTTGAATGCTCATTTGAATTTTTTTGTTGTATTCTTTTTTAGTTAAAATGAAGGTTGGAAATGTTGGACAAATCCCTTTTTCAGGCTGAGACTGCGGTGGGGTGGTATTCCCAGGAGAAATTGTAAGATAGCATGCCAGTGTGACAGCTGACTTATTAGCCCATTAGTCATTGGAGAGAAAAAGAGGTGGATGAGCACAGCATCCGTCAAGAAAGCATCTCTTCTTTCCAGATAGCCTCCCCCAACGGCCGCCCAGGAATCTTGTAAGTGTCTCCCACTGATGTAGAAGCTGGAGTGCCGGGGTCAGATAGTACGGCCAGATCTCTCCATCCCGGCGCTGTCTGTTGCTGCAGATGACCTAGCTGCCTGTCCTAGGAACAGACCAGCGTAACAGAGGCAGAGCTCAGTGTACTGTACTAAAAATAGATGTAGCTTCATATCCCCTTTCCCAGAGACACATGCAAATGTAGATGTGTCAGCTTATACGTGCATATATCCTCAGAGGTGGTCACAACCACTGGTAGCATGTCAGTGACTGCCTGACCGTGTGTGATTGACAGGTCGACTGTGGCGGTACAAAGTATCTGTGTACTCGGGGCAGATGTTCTCCACAGCTTGCTTGAGTCAACGTACATCAGGAGGAAGCTGTTAACCAACACTTGGCTTTGAGACGCACCTCCCCACTGCTCTGTGACCCCGCCGAATCGTCCTCTACATCTCATCTGTCTTTGTATAAGCTATCAACCCGACTCTGCTCAAACAAAGAAAAGCAGATAATATTAAACAAATGAAGTAGTGCTTGCTTCCACTGCTGCAAAATTGAAGCTGATATCCCTTTGACATGCCATCCACGGAGAACTTGTCAATTTCCTGCTCATGATGAATAGCCTGAATAAGCCACGCTTCACGAGTCGACAAATTAATTAATGACATGCTGTAATATGTTTAAGAACACTTGGCATTGACATGTTGCTGGCTTGTGAATGGTCTGCCTCGAAATAGGACCACATTAACCTTTCTATAGCCTCACGCTACTGTATTATTGAATCCCTCTTTGTTAGAAAGCTTTACTAGGGCCTCATCAAATTAGTACATTTTTGTTGTAAAATATGACCAAGACCCAACAAGCTAAAGCTCCACACAGCTTAAATGTTCCATTTATAAAGTGTCTGTGTAAAGCTAATGAAATGATTATACTGGCACCACTGCAGGGCCTTGAATTAGCACATCAGCTGATCTGACTGCC